AAATTTGTTTCAGATTGGTAAGTAGTAGTAGTAGTAAGTAATTTTATTCTATGAGCATTATAAGTATTTGAACGATGTCATTATCACGATACTTCATAGATTTGTACATCGATTACTTAAACATTTCTGTTCCGAATTGTGTGATACTTTTTTTGTTCTTTCAAGTTAGTTTTGTTGCTACCTGGTGATCACCTGATGATCAGATCCCAGAAAAATCGAGGGCAACCCTCTAATTATAAGCACTTATTATGTTTATTCTGACAATTTTATAAAGACATTCAACTATTTATGTCCGATGACGATTTTATATCCATGAGCTGAACTCCTCAGTAGTTAGGAGTTTAGAGAAAATTCTTCCAATAGTATACTCACGTATCAATCATAGTACTCTTTGAGGCTATTATGTAGACCTGATTATAGAAGATAAATCTCGTTTAGTTTAAATAGATGTGGTAAAATTTACTCGTGTGTGTTATCTCTTCACTATTTACCTACACTTATTTAACTACAAAACAACAAATAGAACTGCGTTTAAAAAACCGACTTCAAAAACCATTAATGAAAAACAAATCACGCCTTTTATCCCCGAATGAATAGGCAGAGGTGCACATTAGGGTACTTAATATCCCTGGACAATGTAACGCCCACTTTCACTATTTATGTTATGAGTTCCATAGGAGGTGAGCCTATATACCGGGCATAATTCCAGACTCCGTGCTACAACTGAGATTTTTTAAAACCCAGTAATACTTTGCCCGACCCGGGAATCGAACCCGAGACCCCTTGATCGGCAGTCGCACTTGCGACCACTCGGCCAACGAGGTAACCAATAATAAACTGCGTTTAAAAAAACCGGCTCCAAAAACCATCAATTAAAAACCTGAAACTAAAAACCAAGTACCATAGTATCGGTAAGTTATATTTTGTTACTGGCTTGTGGCACCGGCTTCTAAACTATCAGTGGGTAGGCAGAACAATTAATAACAGTTTATATTTTTGTTTTTAGTTAATGGTTTGTGAAGTCGTAGTATAAAATTTAACCCAACTTCCAATGTGCGGTCAATACTGTATGAAAATGTGAGCATAGTTGGACAAACTGTTTGATGTAGCTATCAGGTGAAGGATATTGTTTGAACTAGCCACCAGAGCACTTCACTTCCTACGTATCATTGCGTAGAAACAATCTACTTCTATGGCAAACGTTCCCGATGCACTACAAAAGCGGGGCCACAAAGCCGACGAGCTACGAGTATACACTTCTAGAATGCAGTGGAAGGTATACGATGTTTGATGTTTGAGTATAGCTTATTTAATGTCAGCTTTCTGATAAACGTATATATATATTTATATTATAGTATCCTAGCAGATTCGGGATACATTTGTGAGAATGCATACCTACACTACTTATTACTAACGCTATCTAAAACTGAAAGTGAATCCAATTAATCCTACTGTAGGCATTTCAGTACTGGTTGGTGTTGGGTGTAAACCAAGACTAAATATTTAACAGCATACAATTACTAGATCATTACACAAAATGAAAGAAAAAAAATAAGCTGAAATTTAAACACAAATACATTTACTTTTATTAATAAACATAAATCACTGCTTTCTTTTGCTTTAGCCGTGGTAGAGTAAAAAGAAAATCCGTGAACTACGACCTTCCCTTCTTTTACTACGAAATTAGTATATCCTGAACTAGGTTTCAGTTCTAGGCTTTGTATTAAGTCGAAAAAATATACCTACATAAATATATTCAAGAAAAATATCAACTACTATTGTACAATTCATACGATTTATCTCTGCAGTACTATTACTGTTCAGGAAAAATATTTTGTAATGAAAATATTTGAAATAATACTTAACGTGATTTCCAGCAAAACAAAATTATTCATTATTGGAATAACCCTTTTTCAGAAATATAAGGAAAGCAAAACCAATGAAAATGACTTAAATTCTTTAATACCTATTTACCTCATTTTAATTGTTTTTGTATTAATATAATTTATTATTCCTAGTTCAGTGCATGCATTTGCTTTGTAACATTTGTGGAAAAAAATATTAAATAATATCAATATGATATCAATACACAGATCTTATACGGATAATACATATTTGTTCAAATTCCTTTCTACCAAACTTTACTTCTAAATACTATTATTTTCTAATATTATTTAATAAAGAAACTTACTATTGTACTATAGGCGTATGTGATGTCTTGCAAATAGTTTTGTAGATAATCGCTTTTGGATTCCGTCAACCGTTTGAACTTTTTACACATGACTGTTCACAAAATTATCGCGAGTGAGCTTCTCACAAAATTACATATTCTATTATGTGAGATAAGCTGAATGTAAAATATCTCACATCGAGGCACGGTCAGATAAATTGTTTCGTACTCTTGACAAGTTCCATCAGGTAACGAAGCGTAATTTAAACGTGCCCAAAAGAACAGGGATGAAAGCATTCATTGTAATATAACATATCACGAACTCTAGCGTCTCCTAAGCGATTTTTCATGAGGTGTGCCACGTTAATGTGTACAAACGCTCCGGCTCGGCATACTTTGCTTCTTTGCAGGAAATAAATTACCTATGCTTAGAGCGCTACCTCCTAGATGGCTTTGCTACACGAATTTCGCAAACAGATAAGCTACCTCGTTATTTTAGTAGTTTAAACACGTTGAATAAGTGTTGACAAGTAAGAACACGATAACGGCAAGTCAGTAACGAGATTAGGTTTTCCTTCTTGCTTTATTTTTGTGCAAAGTTGAAGGTTAAACATATTTGTAAAATAAGATGCATGTCTCGAGTATCAGGATTATTTGACCGATGTTTGTATAGCTATCACTAGAGATATATTCCCCGAAACCCAACTTGTGGGCTGTTTGTAAAGTCCCGCGTGTAAATGTACCTATTACCGCTTAGTCATAACAGTAAACATCTGATATAGAGCCACAACCGAGTACTTACTACAAGTTTAGCGTTACGTTGCTTTACACTATGAAGCAGGCGTTTATAAAAGCCTCCGGATTATTTGCTTTAGCATAGGTCTAGACTAATATTTATTTATCTTACACGCTTAGTGCCAGGTAGCATTCTTCAACATTCAACCAGTCAACCATCAATTTATGTATATTTTGTTTTGATTGTTTTGAAGTATCAGGATGTTGTATGTTCCATCCATGCAACAAACTTTTACCAGTCATTTCGGTTACTGAATGATTGAAGATTTCCTTACCTTTGACATATTTAATTGGAAATTGGAAGTGCTTTCCTGGTCTAATTGAAGTAAATTATGGTTTTGTCTTTGACTTTGAATTCAAAGTTACGTAAATCAATAAACACTTCAAACACGTGATCCTAAAATGTAAGCGTACTTAAGTACCTATCTCGCTCGCCGTTTAATATAAATCAACACTCCGTAAAATCTCCTTGTTGGTAGTGAAGTAAAAATTCAGTTATCCATTCTGCCATCCAGAATTAAAATTTCTAATAGAATATAAAAATTTCCTTGAGCACGATTTCATAAAAGAAGCGAGAACACTTTGTTAGCAAAATGTAAATAACCGATACACTCTGTCGAGGTTATCGGGAATTTAACGCAAAGAATTCTGATAAGCTGCAGGGGAATATTCAAAATTAAATAACTTAAATCTTTGCAAACTGAGCGTGTTTTTGCTAAAAAGTAAGAAAAGAATCAAATACTTAGATAACGAGTTTACACGCCTGTACAATGTACCATTCGAGCATCAAAGCACGTTTGTGTTGAAAATCTAATAAATAGACATAACACTAACTTAGTCTTAGCCGTACTTCCACCAAAGTGTAACCTAGATCGATCGATGAACGCCTACCTGAAAACCTTCCCGTTATAAAAAACAAATCTGAGCATCCAAAAGACGTATTATATTCTATCATCATTGACCTTTGCGTCTATAACAGAAAATTTGCAGCGTAATATCTGTGAAACAACATTTTTGATGAATAATATGAGAACAACACCATCCGGCAAGTACAGTAGAAGTTTGCCTCGTTGTCAAACTGCCTTGGTATGTCTTTCGTTTCGAAAGTATATGGATTATCGAAATATTTTTTGTTGACCTCTAAATCAGACTTCTTTTCAATTTTACGATTCGAAGTTCCTAACTTTGCACATATTTAATAGGTACCTACCAGTAATAACAAACAGAGTCACTAAAAATATACCAAAACTTATCTAAATTTGAACAAGCAGAGATTGCAACATTGATCTTGCCTACCAATGTCTGACTTTTAAGAGATATCTCAAAGCCGCATTCATAAAACATGTGTGATTTCACCAAAACACTTAAAAGTCGAAGTTATAAGATTAGAATTTGAATATGACCTACATGGACTTCAAAGGACCTTGATGTAATATGTATTCCGTTCGAGCCATATTCGTATACGGATGAAGTATCACAATTATGTCGTCCTTGTGACGACGACCCTCACTGTATGTTTACAATAACAATCCCAATTATCCAGTTATCAAATAAGAACAGCTAGTGCTAAGTGGTCGTACAATTACGAAATTACTACAATTAACGCTTTGGACCGTTTGATACCCTCCCTTACGAACAATTACGATGAATATATCCCGAACTTCATTGTGATGAAGTCGTCTTAGACAAAGGTGCCAATTAGTTACCGAGTTTAGCAGGTAAATGATCTGCAGTTCACCGTAGCATTGTTTTATCAACGTGAAATACGACACGTAATTAAGTAGGTAAGTTGGGAAAAATCAATAGCGAATGTAGGTACAAAACAAATATATAAATACAGACATAAAATATAGCACGCAGTCACGAGAGCCCTTGTTTGGCACCTAAACACTCTTTTCCGCTTGCTAACACTCACTGTAAGGTAAACGAGTTTTTGTATACGACGCGAAGGCGAGTTAACCAGTCGATCGACATCCACTGACCGGGTCGCATTAGTTAATACCGTACGCTTAACGCCACATACATTACTGGCAACATGAAGACCGCACCTGTGTTCCTCGTCGTGCTGTTATCCATCATTTGTGTCGTCCATTGTAAGGACCTGATTGTGGGCTCCAGTTTCAACAACAGACTCATACACCAAGAAAAAGCCGAGTACAATGCTATCCCACTCAAGAAGCGAGTTAAAGAAGTATTTTTCTCTGATCCTGGACAACAAATTATCAAGGTAACTTCAGACCTATATTCTTTACCATTTATAAATTACATATTTATTTATATTGTTATTTACAGTGTTAACAACTTTAGTTTGTATTGAAATCCTTGCCGTTTATAATGTTTGAATAGCAAACTTTTTGTTTTAATTAATTTTCTATTAAAGGTATAAAACATTTAATTATGCTCTCAAACCTTGACTTGATTGACTTTCGTAGAAGTTCTTAATGATAAATGGCACTAAGAGTTTTATAGACAAAGTTAAAGGTGATCTGATTGCGACAACAGCACTTTGCAAGTTAACCTGTTCTATTTAAATAATTGATTCAGTCAACTGATTCTTGACGTTATTATACTTGACTGTTTCAAACAAACTTACAACAGAACCTCTTCATTTATTCATTTAAATTTTCGAGACTGATACAAACTACTGTGCAAGTCAACAGATGCCATGCAAACATAGTTTGCAAACCAGTTTTTTAGAAAACATAACTAAATATGTACATACTTACATAGATAGATACATTGTGTACTATGTACGTGTACATTGCCCAGGGTACAGATACATACAGAGAGTCTCCATGAGTCGTAAAGAATAACGATGTCAGTAAAGATTTCGGCTTTCATCTTATGTCAGTAATTAGGGTCACGCTAAGCACTCACCCAGTTGATAACGTACTCTATTTGTATATAACAAGCATAACCTCTAGAGATTTATTTCAACCGTTTACTAATTAACATTTATCAGAAATGTTAAGGCTGGTACTTAATATAGTGCGTGCTAGAATACTGAGAAATACCAACTCCATTGTTTTAATTCCAGTCATAACCACTTGAAATCTGGAACAAGTAGGTAATGTGTGATATTTTATAGCAACATGGTACATAATTCTTGCAGATATCACGTTTTATGTAGTAGACCTTACATTATGCTGATTGCACACATTTTTCGCATTTTTGTAGAGACGTGTAGAGTGTCTGCTAAGGTATGCGCTTACTGGTCGGGCCGCAGTAGGTCGCAATGCAGGACTAAATTTCACATGAATCATTTTAGTACACACACTAATGCCACGAGTAACCTTCACACACTATTGGTGGGACGTGTCATAATGTACGGCTCAATTCAAGTATAATATCATATAACATCGTAAATACGTATTTATTCAATTAAATTTCATCTCGTCGGTCTGGTCGTCACAATGGGTATATATATACTGATAAATCTATGTTTGGACATTAAGAGGATTAGTTTTAGATTTAAATCTCATTTCAAATCTTATATCTCAGTAGGTATTTGATTCTGCGCATTGTCCAATCAAAGTTAAAATCAAAGTTCAATATTTCAATTAATCCTTAATTCGTCACTTTTGAAAGTCAAATTGAATTATCAGTGAAGCTAGATTCTCATGAATCGTATGCTCAATGTGCTCATAAAACTGCTCGTTGCAGAAAATTGCAAAATTGCAAAATAATTTTTAAGCCAGATAACGAGAACCTTCAAATGCGCTCTCTAAATCTGAACCTTATAATTTGTAACTTCTAATCCGACTGTCAACCGTGTAGATTGTAGAATACCTTCTTATGAGAAGATTCAAAGTTCAGTAATAGACTGTCACTAGACGTTGCTAATCACCATGAACGAATGAATAAACCAATTTTTATAAATCTAAAATAGACCCCAAAAACAAGAATGTAAACCCACATGTATTACCTCCAACACTACTTGAAACTCATGCTAGGAGCCGTATAGCCGTATATAGTCTAGACTGTCTAAATTGTCAAAACAGTAGATCTAAAATTAGTGAATTATGTACTTGAAAACTTCAAATATAACGGTAAACTGCTGTAATAACACCTCTCGGAGGCATAATGGCGTGGTATTATTATGTTAATGCAAAGATTATAAAATCATAAAAGTTTCTCACAAACAACTCAACCAAAATCTGATATCAATGAAATAAAGTTACGTTTACTTTGTATTTCAATAGATTTCTATCTCACTACTAAGCGAGCTATATTGAATGCTGTGAAGACATATACATATATCATAATACTACAAGTAAAAATCGTTCTTAGAAAAGGTTTTATTTTACAGCGAAACTCGACATAAACATTATAGGTACGAAGGTATGTACAGCTCAGATCTTATTCGTTTAATTGATACTCAACCGCAGAGGCTTTTTACTGTGTTGTAACAAATAAAAAGGCTTTTCACTGTGATTTTACGTTCAGCACTTGCGTGTCATATAAAGCTTTGTATGGCACCATGAAAAAGAACGATTGCCTTTTTTGTTAATGTTTTTGTCAGTAATTGAACGTTCATTGCTTTTGTTGAAAACGGAATGTAGCTTTATTTTTTAGTAAATTCGGAATCATTTGATTTCTCGTGGCTTTCCAACACTCTTTTAGTTTATCTCGAATACTTTGAGGCTTAGAACGTTTATAAATTATTCGTATTTACTCTTTCGACGTTGAATTTAAAATAGAAGCGGTTTATGTACCTTTCATCCGAACTAGTCATTGTACCATGATAAAGACTGGATTATTCAAGATCATGAGTAAATAGCAATTACTTGTCTCTTAGTTCTCATTTTTGTTTATAAATAGCTAGCTTTATGTCAGGTACGGCTTACGTGTAGGTACCAATTATACCTATATCGGGGCGGGATTAGGAGTAATTGATTAATCTTACTTATTAAATATAACAGATGAATGATTAGCGAGTAGCAGACCTTGATTCCTTCAATACCTTCTAATTAGACCAAATATACCGTCACAAGCAGAGATTTCGTTCAAAATTGTAATTAGTTCTATATTGTTAGGTAGTTTTGTGTATTTAATAATTAATTTATTTGGAGAATTATGAAATATATAGAATAATTATTTTTGTATAAATGAAGTAACATTTAAAGTAAGAGAGCAATTTTTTGTAGCACATAACACAAAGATAAAATACTGCTACAGTCTAAATTATTGTTAAAAATAAATTACATAATTTTGTTCATCACAGAAGTTTATAAATGTCTATTTCTAAATACATTCAAATACTCTTCAAAGAACGCGGTTGTTAACAATGAACGACATAAGTTTGCGTAACTTGGTGTAATGTGTATCTAACTAGCTATATATTAAAAGCATAATACGAGTATAACTTAGGGCTTAGTTATAAAAAGACTAGCTCAGACTTCAGACACCCTCACAAGCAACTTGTTAGGATTCCCCCGAGCCCAGACTTCGGTGACTCACACCCGTTACTTAGATATTCTGATGTTATTATAAAAGCAACACGTCGCCCACCTTGGCATAAATATGTATGACATTTTATAAAAAATATACATATTTAATTATTTATACAATGACGTAGGTGTTTATAACTTTATGTATTTTCGTAGGTGTAATAAAATATAAAGTTCATATAATTCTTTTTGGAATAAACCTAATCACGTGTAGGATAAAAACCACAAACATTAAGTTACAGGAAAAATAAAAATCACTTAGGACGGTGGTAAAAAATCAAATGGAAAAATTCATTTTCCTTAATTAAAATAGAGTAGTTATCTACCTACAATACGAGTATATGATTGACACAGCTTCGATTCTCGCACGCAATCAATATTTGACCCACAGGTTGTTATTCCGAGTTTAGGTGCGTTGTGTGTTTGAGAGATTTGTGTAGTAGGTACCTACGTACAGGATTTCTGTGCGTTTCTACTGCAATATGTAAGTCTGTTTCCATAACATAACATCACCTATCCCCGAAAGGGTAGGCAGAGGTGCACATTACGGCACTTAATGCCACTGTACGATGTAACACCCACTTTTCACTATTTATATTATGAGTCCCATGTCCAGACTCTGTGTAACTACTGGGTTTTTTTTTAAACCCAGTAGTAGTATCTATACCTACTTTGCCCTACTTGGGAATCGAACCCGAGACCCCTTGCCCGGAAGACGCACTTGCGACCACTCGGTCAACGAGGCAGTCTGTTTCCACTCCCGTTTAATTGCTATCTATCTGAATCTAAGCTCTTAATTAATAATCTAACACGAATTAGCCTAATATAAAAATGGAAAAACCAATAAAACTTAAAAGAAAAGTCTACTCTACATATTACCTTTTTACTTTATTACTTGTTTGTTTTGATAGCAGATGTAAAATAATGTGCTGAGAATAGAAACGCAACAGACAAAAATCGTCGACTCATCGTTACGCCAGCCACGTTTATTTATGTAATATTGTTATAAGCAATATAAAACATGCACATACATGTATACCTGATAAAATGTACCTTAGTCAGTCAGTGCTTACAATGCAATCATAATTTTTCTGCGGATTTAACGTTTTCTGCGCAATTAAGTCTTCTGAGTGCCAAGCACGAATAACTATCGCATTCGTAACGTAATAGTATCGAGCACGTTCGGCGCTCTGATTGGCCGGTTCCAGTGAACCAACCAATCAGAACGCTTAACTCGCTCGATACTGTTACGATACGAATGCGATAGTTATTCGTGCTTGGGCCTCAGTTGCGTATACGATGCAAACACGTTCCAAAAAAAATAACAGAATGTATGACTCATAATTTCACAACTATAAACATTCGTGATTTAGATTTTAATTAGAACATAATTTTAAAGGCACAAAACTTAATTCACAACTATTTACACTGAAAAAGCTGAAAGCGCGCCAAATTAAAGTCGGCAACGAGTCGGAACATCTCTTGGTTTTGTAGGTGTCCAACTATTATGGCGGCTTCAACCACTATTCAGATGGGCAGTCAAGCTTCGCTAAACGCGTGCGTTATAGAATTCAACACAATTTCCATGAATGTAATTATGTGCTGTAGTTTATGTCTAGTTTACTTCGCTGTTTGAATTATTTTATTCACTAACGTAGTTATTACTTTGTTCAAAAAACACACTTTAGATTACGAATATAATTTGAACTAAATGAGGTATTATTTTGGAATGAAATTAACAATATTTGTATGAACTGGTTGACCCGGTATCGTACAGTACCTATTTTTATTCTTATAAGAATAAACTCCAATTATCTACTTATTCAACAATATATTACGTAGTACTTACATGAAACTACATAACATAACATCACGCCTTTTATCCCCGAAGGGGTAGGCAGAGGTCACACCCACTTTTCACTATTTATGTTATGAGTCCCATGTAATAGGGTGGGGTGAGCCTATTGCCATGCACCGGGCACATTTCCAAACTCCGTGCTACTGAGATTTTTAAAACCCCAGTAATACTTTGCCCGACCCGGGAACCGAACCTCTTGACCAGCAGTCGCACTTACGCCCACTCAGCCAACGAGGAATGAACTTACATGAAACTGATTTAGCTATTCATAAATGTATTATAGAATACCAGCTTCTGCCAGCCGCCCGCGTCCCCGTAGGATAAAAACTGGCCTATATGTTAAAGACCATAATCTACCCCTGTTCAAATTTAATTTTTATCCCTTCAGCTGTTTTGACGTGAAAGAGTAACATACACACACACACACACACACACACACACACACACACACACACACACACACACACACACACACACACACACACACACACATCCGCACAAACTTTCGCATTTATAATAATAATAAGTAATACAATTTAATAACAGTTGACATTTTCCTTTTTCCAGGGTATAATCCTACGAGACTTGGACCATACTGAGGCCATTCCCAGTGTCACAGCTGGAGGAGTGGGCTTTTCTTACGCTAACATCAGGCTGAAGAGCGAACGGGGCTCAGGACTCAACTACCAGGTCGAAATTTACGTATAAACTGTAAAAAACCACCGATAACATTTACTACTCACCTTTTCTATGAAACTACGAAGGTATTATTTCTCTCTCACTCTTACATGCTTAAAATCTGGTGTTGAAGTAAGAAAATTGTGTTTATCGTACACATTGTACTATTATTTCTTAAGAAAAACGGAAACATTTTCCTATAAAGTTTGCTTTACTGTGAAAGAAGTCTTAAATTGAATAATAATGGGCATTTTACATAATATATGCAAATTAAAATAAGTCAGGAATGTAATTTCAATAAAAAATCTAAACATGTAGAAGGAAAAGGTATTTGCCTTCTATCAACTACGCTCGGAAACCTTCGTAAATGTCTGGGAAGAGTGAGTAACATATGTATTTATAATTATTGTTATCGCGCATTCATTATTTTATTCATTAATTTAAAGTAAATATTGTTAAATTACATTTTTAGTTTTATTTTACCTACTTTCAACTTATACTATAATATGATAAACTTTATGTGGGAGACATACTATCGTGCCTTTTCAAGAAGGTAGGCATAGACAAGCATATTTAAAATGTAGGTAACATTTACTTTAACTTGGTGTGCTGTGATATATAACAAGGAATTTGTACGTAACAACAATTGAAGCTCTAGCACTCACAACAACTACATAATGTGAAATAAGCACTATATAACAATAATTAAAATAAAGCCGACCACTATCCTCGTTAATTATTATACTACATGTTTATTTAACAAAACTAATAATTTAATGATACCTACACTACATACATTCTATTCAGAGATGGAGTTCATTACAGCTCATGCCGATTTTGTTATTAATTAACTCGAATTCAAATTACGATTTTATTATTAGTTAGAGTAATTAGTAATTACATCAATGTTAGTTTTAATTGAACACAACAAACAATCACGCCTGTCCCTTATAATTGGGTAGTTGACAGTGTGAAAATTAAAAATCTAATTAGTCCGTCAGTTAGGTAATAAAAATATATTATTCGTATTTTTTTGTCATACAGGAAAATAATACTTAGATGACGACGTATTAAGTTTAGTAGTGGGAGTGTTGACTACTCCACATGTTTCTATAAAAAACGTTGCAACTCATGACGCATGACGTTACACGATATTTCAAATCAATATAACGTCCAAAGTGTTTCATTTTGTAAGGCAATAAAAAAATTACGTGTCTAATGTTTTAAAATAATTTACTAAATGAACGTTGAAAACATATAGGGAACTACCTTATTAATTGGTTTAGTGTTCTGAAACAATCAATTAAGAAGCTACATGCAAAAATAAGTTCGTATAATTTTCAGCTTCTTATGCTATCTATTATTAGAATAAAATTGAACTAAGCGTATAGGTAACAAGTACATCCAATTTTATGTTCAGTTCCGTAAAGAAGACTAAAGAGAACAACCGTACCTATTGTCATACATCCTACCAACTTCCAATTGCTACTGCAACTTATGAAACAGAATTAAATTTAAATAACACAATAAGACTCTGATCAACCCTGCGTGAGCTGAGCACCGCCGTGCCCTCAGAGAAGTGATCGGCGATGGCGACCTCTCGCGTCCGGGCCTAGTGCAACACATGATGCGGAGCGAGGGTCTGGGATGCCGTGTCCTCCTTTTGCGACGCAGTTATGCTAGCTAAGGAGGAGGCAGGACGCGTGAGGCAAAGAGTCATCAGACCACTACAGATGGGGCCTAAGCCGATTCGGAGTCGCGGAGAACCTAACGGGTTACCGGGGCTCCGGCTCGATGTGCAGGAGAAGGAACGGCGTGGTGTTTAGTCAGTAAGAGTCTGACACTCTCTCCCGCCTCACCCAGGCGGCAGCAGTCATTCGACGATTTCCCCCCCTTAAAAAAAACTCTGATCGAACAATATTGTACAGGTACCTAAATACAAAAATGAGTTTGTTTGTTGCTCATAAACATCATAACAAACATTAGGTTACATTTGCACAAGCGAAGTCATAGGATGACATAAAAGGAAAACTAGTATAAAATGATGAGGTAAATTGAGATATTTTTATAGAATATGGGCCGCATTATAACAATAGTAAGTATATGTCCGTCGTGTAAGGAAAACGTTAAGAGGAAAATGTAGCGCGCACGTTGAGTGATGTCACCTCCGCGGCCGACAAGAGACCTCAGAACAACAGGAAATCTTCATTTAGCGAGGTTGATTGCCCAATGATGACCCGCAATTGCCCACCCGCCGTATTTACAAACAGCCACATACAAGAATAATGTTTTAATGTAGTATAATCAATCATACATTTTCTTTTTGTTTTGCACTAGAAAAACTTTCAGTCACGCTGTTTTATTCAGCAACTAGTTCACCTGACGCTAATTAGGCGAAGACAAACGACTTTTCTTTTCGTTGCACGTTTTACAAAACGTTTAATAGGTCAGTGAATAATGCGCCTATTTTTACTAGAGTACCTACCTTTTGCGGCATAAAATACTTAAAAGTACTTGTATAATGTATATATTTACTTGCAAAATTACCATGACTAAATCGATAAAGCAGTCAAATACTTACCTAAAGCGATAAACAAACGATAAGCTAATATAAATTGATGCGTTCATAAATTATAATAATTGCAAATTATGAAATACCTTCACAAGTTCACACCATCTTGAAGTCACTCGCTTTGTAACTCTTTACGAGTATTACTCTCGAACAAGTTCAGCGCTCAATATAAGTGTTACAAGAGGTTCATATGACTAAGTATATATCTAATTATACTTAGTTGTAGTTCTGAAGTACTGCAGCATAGATTCCAAGCCAGACTCAATTATTTAACATGAAGACAATTTGCCTGCATTAAGCGCCAACTCTCTGCCTCAGTGAAACTCAGTTAAAATCATACATGTATACAATTATTTTTATACTTACAAACATGATGTTTCAAAAGTTTGTTTGTTTGAATGTACATTTCATAGTGATTTCTTTTATTTATAAGTAGAATGTGCACTGTTTTATTTGGTATTAGTCTTATTTCCAAGATGATTATAATTGATCACATAAAAAAGCTTAATATAACGATATGACAACATAAAACTGGCAAACAAAATTACGTGAAAGTATTAGTGCTTTCTTGAACTAAAAATCGCGGGGTACTCATGTGAGTGAATATAATGAGAAAAGCTCTACTAGTTTCGAACAACAGAAGGGTTCTTCCTCATGAGCAGCCTGCGCATCACATCACATCGCGCGATATCGCCGCCGTGAGTAACCCGCGATTTTTAGTTAATTTATTATGTCTTTCTGTATGTGTGTATGTATTTAGCTTTCTTTTAAATAAAGTACTCATATTTTATTAGTTAGAAAAAAGTATAAATGATAATTGCAATTACATGTTAGTTGAATTCTTTTATAATAGAATTATTTAGGTGCTCGTGTTTCTTTGTTTATTTTCACAGATTTTGAAGAAATGTTATAGAAATATTAGGTACCTAAATAAGTCTTGTGATCAAATTTATTTTCTTTGTTTTTGATTAAAAGACTGGGTGTATGAATGGTCCGACACGATCACAAATACAAATACAAATATTGTTTATTTCGTCAATGTAGGTATGTTACAATAGATGGTAGATAATATTATGGTAGTGCGCCACATTGTGTCTGTACAGACATACAAAATTCTTATAGTATGTTCTTAATCTAGTGTGTTTACAGACAATAATCACAAAGCATGTTATCTTTGTTTAAAAACTATTTTATCTGAGTGGGATCACTGCACAGGGGTATTTGAGAGGTCACAAGAACCGGTCAAATTAATGAGATTTAAATGTACTTTTTCCTTATATTTCCAGATTAGTTATAGCAGTTTCGCTGGTGTTAGACTACTTCTTATTGTGTGTTCTATGTTCACACTTTTATATGGAATTTAATTTAAGCAGATATTATGTAGGACGTAGCGGTGAGTCAGCTCATTGTATCGTTTGTACGCGATGGCGTAATATCCTGCGTCGCGGCTAGTTGTGAATTGTGAATGGATGGAACTAATGTGATTATAGTATAGTACCTCTTTATATATATATTCAAAAACTTAGCCAGTAACTAGTCCAGAAAAGAAAACGGGTTCGATTCTTGGTTCGATTAATTTGTACCTAAACCTAACAGGTAACGCTTTGTCTCCCACATAACATAAGATTTCGAATGTTTTATGTACCTACGTACTATGATGCTTCAATTCTTGTTATATGTTTCCTTAATAGCATGATTTAAGTTAAAACATCATACGTATCAGATGTGGCAGTCTACAAGGACAGTCAGATCAGAAAATAAATTAAAAGTAGTCTCACTTATTAATATTGATTTGTGTGAGATTTAAAATACCTATATAAAAAAAATAAACGGAAGGTAATAAAAGAATTGGTAAGTTAGTCAGATAAAAAACCACAACTAGAGATCACGCATATTAGGAGGATAAGATAAATAGTCCACCGCAATGCGAGAATAAACTCGTCGCGGAGAACCTAACGGGTTACCGGGGCTCCTTGCTCGAAGCGCAGGAGAAGGAACGGGGTGGTTTTTAGTCAGTAAGAATCTGAAACTCCCTCCCGCCTCACCCAGAGCAGTCATTCGATGATTTTCCCCCCTTAAAAAAAATGCAAGAATAAACTCCAGATCTTCTCCAACAAGATCTTGTTTTAATACATATAGACAGTTAATTATATCCAAGTTGCCTTTAATTCAAGTCCTTATCGCAGGGTAAATACCGCCTCAGCGCCATAATCCTTGGCTGTCCTCAAGAAATTATTTTATACGACTAATGTTCAACAGGTAATAACGCATAAACGGCACACGTATGATGACAGGGATCCTATTATCGCCCCTCGACCAAGACCCGGGGCTGCCCTATACAAAGGGTCCCTGCTAATTTATTACCAAAATATCTTTAACACCACCCGCCTACAGATAATTAGACACCTACATTACGAAATATGTTCTCTAAAATATATGTACGAGCTTCGGATTATGT